CTAGACACTGGAAGCAATACTTCAATTCTCATAGGGACTTATCCTTGTAAAGTACTGCAAAAAGTAAGTTATCAAATTCATTTGTTGACATAACTCTTTCTCAAGTTGAAGTTGCAAAGTCGGTGGAATTTCACAAATTTTTGTCTTCTAGAAAAAATTTAAATTCGATCCGGTGTAAATCCTTCATTTACAGGAAATACAAAACAGAAAAATTCATATCAGTTTTTAATACTACTAAAAATCAGTTTAAAAAAAATCTCTTTTATACAGGAAACTTTTCGTATTCATTTCATTATAAACCTGTTATCAAAGTGATAAAACTGAATCTTTATATGAGTTCCACACTAAGCTTTTTTGAGTAACCTATATAAATAATAACTAAAATGACCATAACCGGTCATTCGCACTAAGAAATGAGCGTTACAATTCAAGCAAAAATAAGGATTGCTTAAATTGACAGCAATTCTCATATAAAAACTGATAAATCTCCATAAAACTTTTTGATCTTTTCGATTGCTCTTTTATAATTCCAGAAAGAAACTCGTGCCGCTAAAGCATGTAATAAAGTCTAGAAAAACAAAGAAAAACAAGAAAGTTTTGAAATAGATAAATTATACACAACTAAAATGATTTTTTTTAGAATTTATTACCATCGTCAATAACATGCTTAACAAGCCAAAGTGATAAGGCAGGAGTTTATCGAACAATCCAGGTTACTATCGATCGAAGCATCAAAATTCTTCATGGAATATTTGAATACCGGAATGACCCAGTCATCGAAAGAATCCATCCCGAAGAAACATTCCAAAGTGGTGGAAGAATGATTGAAGTTTTGGTACGTTCTGAATTCTTCTTGCACCTGAAGATCCTAAACAGCTGACAAATTCTATCTCAATATTAATGATGAAGTAACTGCAGAGTATTTGAACCGTCAGAATAGGCATTCATGAAAATTCGTATGAAATGCTGGATTCTTTCACCCATTCTTCATGCATATTTTCATCTAGAATAGTTGCTTGTAGAATTTCGTAATTCAAATTCAAGGGTGAAAATCTGAATTCGGTACTAAATGCCAAAATGTTTGTTGAAAACACGAATTCGGGAGAAAGAGCCGTATCCGAAATGAGTGATTGCCATGTGCATAATTCAACGCTGATGCGATGCATCAGTCCACGGGTATTCCTACCGCACAGTATGTCAACACGTTGGCCAGTGGCATTTGCAATGGATGGTGTACAGTCTGTTCGAGATTTTGGTGGGCGAATACAGTTATTTGTTGTATCCGATCCCTACTTTGTTCTATTCAAAAGTGTTCGCATCCACAAACCAAAGCAATTACTACGGTTGGAAGGGAATCAATTGTCTTTTGCAGCTACCGCTGAAGAATATCAGGTTTTTCAATATTTGACCAGAACTTTAATCTTTAGAATGACTAATTTTAGGCTTAAACATCTTTCGGATGACCATTATTTTAATATTTTCTTCATGAAATTACATCCTTTTACATTTCATATGAAACTTTGGTTGAAGATTTTCATTGGTACATCGCAATGTATAGTTATCTTACTCGAAGCAGATCAGTTGTTTTGTCGAGCTTCACAAATTGAACCCAAAGCCACGGATGAAAAAGGAAATGTCCTTGATGGGAATCATCCATTAGTTGTTGTTATTTTGGGTAACATCCGATACGAACTTGGTTTTGTGGAATATGAGGCTTCATTTCGGTAAGAAAGTTAATTACGAAATTTGAACTTCAGTTTATTCCATAGACTCCATTGTTTAATGATGAAAATTTTCTGATAAAAATTTATCCAAAATCAACTCATTTCAGAGTTTCGATGATACGTTTAGTTGCACTGCTGTTGTTTACAGCTACCTGCTTATTTGTTATCGGATTATTATTCTATGTTCTCTACAGAAGTAAAAATCAACGCAAACGAGAATACAAAAAATACGAATGAAGATGGAAGAATTTGAATTTAGTGTACGTAATGAATGCAAACAGGTGAGTCATCCAATGATTCGGGTAAATTGACTTATCCAAAAAAGAAAAAAATACTTTGCTTACCTTCATAGGCTTTTACGGAGCTACAAACCGGTGTGACTGATTTGAAAGTGACTGTCAACAATCAGAGTACTCCATTTCACAATAAAACGGAATCCTACATCCGAATCCTGTTCAGGCATACAAATTTATATAACGGTTTATTGCGCAATCAACAATCTTTGGATAGGTTTCTTTCGTTTTGTTTTGGTTTTATATCTTTAGAAATCAGCGCTTTGAAGGCAGTATGATGCTCACATATTGCCGTTATTATTAGCCCCATTTTGTCGCTGAATTTCGAACTTACTTGTGATATAAAATTAAATCCAAAATAATACATCCACTTCCAGTTCTTTGAGCTTTGACGGTACACCAGCAAAATTGCCTGGATTCGAATATCTGCTCAGGAATACGCAATTCCTGTTGAAACTTGTTGAAACGGTCGACAGCAATGCTTGCTATACATTAGAGAACAAGTGTATTTTGTCATCGCTTATCGTTGGCTCATTACTTGATGACATGCGCTATTGTACAGAAGTTGTTTTTGCAATATTAAATCATCATATCTTTCTGTCTCTTGAAGTAATTTTTCGTAAATTCATACTTTTTTTTCAAAACTAGTCCGGAAAAATCACTTATTTTATTTGGCTATTAGCTTATTCAAACTGACTGGTCAGTGATGAGTTTTCGGAGACGGGCAAATTCTAATTTACTTTAGTTTTCTGCGGAGAAGTATGTAGGTAGTCGATTCTTTATATCCACGTAATATGTCACCTCGTGGAATCAGACATAAATTCGAGCTAGTATTGTTTCTAACTAAACTAACATGATATAAAATCTACACGTAACTAACTACAAATCTAGTGGTCTTTCGCCGAATAGTCAGTGATTTACATTATATTTCAATGATGCACAATGTTCATTGAATGAATCAAAACTTACTGGAAATATTTCCAATGAATTTGGTGAAATCAAGCATAGACACATTTCCTATTCCAAAAATGAAATTTAATTTAAATTATTCGTTTTCAGAAGTGCGAACCTCATATTATATTTCGTCAAAGTGGTTCTCTAGCTGAGCAAATTTTTACGGTTTGGTTCAGTTTGTGTTTTCTGGAATATTTGAAGAATGGTCCAGGCCAGTCCATGTATTTGTTATATAAAGCACTGAAATGTCAAATTGAACGTGGTCCAGTTGACGCTATAACCGGTGATGCACGATATTCACTGAATGAATCAAAACTTCTTAGAAAACCGCTTAATGTTACAAGCATGGTTCGAACAGTTTTATTCTTCTATTAGTGCTAGAAATATTCTCAGTGAATTTAGTGAAATTAAGCTGAACACTTTGAATGAGATAAAAAAGTCTCCCCATGTTGACCAATAATACCAACAATGTGAAAACTGTAGGCGACCATTCTGAACTTATTTTAGATAATAATGTATGATTTCTTTAACAGGCATTTATGCCACTGTCTGAATAGGTGAACATTCTTAATGATTTCTATGGAATGCTGTTGGAACTAGCTATCTCAACTTCCAGCAGTCATTATTTGAAGCTGAACTTCTACAACTACTCATTCCTAACCCTTTCATACATGAATTTGGACTTCATAAAATTTCTTTCAAAATTCTTAGTACTGATTTTCTGGCATCAATTTTGCAATTTTACAGCAGTTGTTCGTAATCCCTCTTGACGGTTCTAAGCAATCGCCGATTATTCTTCGAGCATTAAATTGTGATACGATCACTCAAGTTAAAAAAAAGCTGTTGGACAGTATTTACTCCAATGAACCGTTTTCCGCTCGGCTGAATGTGGATGAATTTCATTTAGGTTAATCAATTAAGGTTGTCGAATAATATGAATAACTCTAACAAGGAATTTAACTCTCAAGTCTTGTATTTTTATGATGGTCCTAAAAACTTAAATTGAAATAAATTTATCAATTGAGAATGGAAATGTTCGGAGCGTTACACTGTTGTTCTGGCGGATGATGATGGATTAGAAGAAGGCAAAATAAAAAGGTTGAAATGCTTGGATGATTACAACATAAAAGAAAATGCGTTACTCGCCATGAAGCTAATTCCATCACGTAATACTCCAGGTTTGGAGGCTGAATTTCGAGGCATTTGTTAATAATTTAGAGTATTATTATGGTAAAATTCACGAAGAAGTCCGGATTCTTATTATTTCTTTCGTTTTATTATTTTTCAGTACAAAAAACAGATCACTGACTGTAGGGTAGTTCATTTCAGATAATTTGGAGAGACATGGGTTTGTTGTATATATATGGATGTTGGAAGAAGTACGAGAAGCCTCTATGTTGAGGGAATTGTTGTGAGATGATCCAGACTTAAATTTTATTAATTGGAATTTGAATTTTTAGAATACTTCAAAAAAGCAGCCAATTCGAAGGGCAGTACGCATCCAACTCAGTATTATCATCTGGAACAACCTTTCTTAATAGAAAATTGCACTAATGAGGAAGATGATACTGCAACCAAATCCATATCGGAAATATACCTTACGCGATTAATTACAAGGTTTGTTTTCCAGCTTTTAATTTCATTATGAGGTGGTGCATAATTTAAAACTAGATCTTTTAAAGAAATTTCCGAAATATATGAATTCTAAGCAAGTACTCAGAAATGTTGCTGTAGAAAAAATTAGAATCTATTACACAGAGAATCAGCTACAAAAGGAATGTGCAATTTACAGTAAAAGAATGGTGCAAAAATTTGTGGATGGTTTCCTGGAATCGGTGATATGTGCGAATGGTTTTGAGTGTCCACCGCTCTTGTTATTCGTGTTTCACACTTTCGACGAAATAGCCATTAGGAATAATGTATACCACTTTACTTTTCTATGTCAACTCGGCGCTTGAAATTTCAGCAATTCAAAACTGTAATAAATAGGTGATACGTAGTGAAAATTTCTTGGATTTTAAGCTGAATCCATAGCATTTTTAATTGACGTAATGAGTTTGCACATGTGTAGTTTATGGATGAGATAGCAGTTCGATCTTGGAAAGTAAATCTTTGGATTCTGCGATTCTGGGTAAACATTCTGTCGAATATTGATTACGTATTAGACGTTGAACGGATACCAGCAGTGGATAGCTCATTAGCGGTCATTGCTCAAACGTTGGTGGATGTTTTCAGCAATGCTAACCACAAGTTTGGAAAGGTAAAATACCTACACAGTTCTTCTGATGCAACTAATATCCAGAATCACTCAAAAAATCACTGTTATTTCAGGAAAGTCCATCATCAAAACTTCTGTTTGCAAAAGACATTAAAAGGTATCGCATACAAGTAGCAGATTTTTTCCGAAATATTGCTACCTCTCCCCGGTTATCCATTGAAACTTTTTATAGTTACATCGCCGTTTCAGCAGAAGTAAGCCATTGTTTTGAGACATTTCTCAAATATGATAACCATTTTAGAATAATTTTTTCTTGAATTTTGTTTTTAGAATAATTTTCCTTAGAATAACTTTTTTTGAAATAATTTTTTGTAATTTTTTTTCAAAACTTTTTTTTTTGATTTTTAGAATAATTTTTTGAATGACCGTGAAGTTAAAGCAGAATGCATTGTCACTTCAGCATGTGCAATATATTTCAATAGTCAGGTCAGCTGATGTCCAATCGACCGTCATTCATGTTTTAGGATCAAATTCATTTTATCCATATATTAATACACAAGGGTCGATTGTTCGATTGGGAGTAAGAAGAATGTGCAAAACTCATTCTTTTTTACTTAATAAAGCAAGATTAAAAAATTGTCCACTTCAGTTCACACCAGCTTTATGTCGCTATTCCTGAATATGTTTTGAATAGTCACTCTTCTTCCTAGATCTACTCCGTGACCTCTCTATTATGGTTTGTCATTTCATACTATTACAGAGTTTTTGTGGTGAGAAAATACATTACGTACTGCAGAATGATCTATATGACTGGATCAAAAGTAATGGTTTTAGTCTGCTGGAACAGTTTTCCATTAACCAGTGCGCCGAAACACGTGGAATAACTGAATGCTTAAAATATTTACTTTATTACGGTGAGATTGATATGAACCACATTTATGCTGATGTACAACTTGAATAAACGATTGCTGTTCAAGGACGTGTGCTTTGTTACAGATTGATAACGAAAGCAGAACTGTGGTTTAGGTAGAGCATATAACAAAAGGCAGTGATGTATTCCTTCAGAGAAAAGAACTAGCTCTGAAGACGTGAACTGACTGTCCAGAGTTGTTCTTACCTTACAGAAGAGTGACCGATAACAGCGCTATTGAATTCCTAACTGCTTAGTGGTAAACAAAAGCGATAGTTGTCAGTTAGAAATGCACCGAAAACAGCCTTAACCTTAAGTGTTGCTTAGGTTTTTTTTTCCTTTTTTAATTTGGAATAATATCAACATGATCAGAAGATCGAGTGAAAAATCGACTAACCCATTCCATTCCGGTCAAAACAATTGTAATGTATTTGTGATTTCTTGACAAATGATAGAGAGAAATGATTCGAAGTTTAGCAATGCTTTAGTTAGGCCGTTCCGGATGCATGCAGTGCGTAGTCCGATCTACACCGGAAGATACGTTGCAACAAGTATATAAGTTAGTAAACGTAAACAGGTATTTTTAGATGTCCTCACTATTGAAAATATGAAAATCGGTATACGCGCATAGAGTGACGTAAATAGCTGGACATACATAGTTGAGTGTGGATTGTAACAAAGGGCAGTATATGAATTAGGGAGAAATGATGTGAAATAAATATGGTTTACTGCTATTAGATGGAGCAAGCGATATATATGTTAATCATTTGAATCCATAAACATATTCCATAAAATTCCTAGAAATAGTGAGAAAGTGGGAGTGAATCGATAGCCTAATATAATAAGTAAATTTGAGAGAAGTTTCAAATGCAAAATGCAAATGTATCTCGCAGTTCTAAATTCCCAATTATTTCAAAATTTTAGAAAGATAAAAAACTCACTGATCCTCTTCGACATCGATGTGGTGGCTTCGTTCTAGCTCTTTTTGTTTAACGGAACATTTAGTATTTTGTTGTCGTTCAGAGCAGCACATTACTGCTGCGGTGAATAATGCAAGCATTATTGCACTCAATACTGCGATGAACCAAGCTGCACTTTGCAGACTTTCTGTAAACATTAAATGCAATAAAAGTAGTGAGTGTCCCATTTATTTTACTGCATCGAACGGTAGTAGTAGTCGTAAGTGCTCATATGAATGGAAGACTTTGATGTCATCGGAACCAATTATAATATATCTAATCCTATTGGAGATTTTTCTCAGCATCTAAGCGCGAAAACCTTGTAGTATCGCAATACTAAGCTGCAGCTATCTCCAAATATCTATGAGACTTTGAGGTTGAATTTCATGCTAGAGTATGTTCGTTATTCAAGTCTACTTTTTCTGTTTGCTTATTAGAAAATGTGAAGGAATGGCATTAATTTCGAAGCAGATTCAATCGGGATTTAAATTCTGGACGATCTCATCAACATGCTTTTCTTTCTCATGTACGCATTACATACGCACATCTGTAAACATCGAGTGACTCTCGAAATTTGTGGAATATTTTAGCTGCTAACTTTTGTAGCACTCCTTTCATTTTTGGTTTGCTTAGGTATTAAAGCATTCATACCATGAGAGATGTGCGTGATCGTAGCTCGACTTGGGCTTCGTATTGTAATTACTTCTGATATTCGCTGCCTTTGACCTTCCTTAGCAACACCGATCATTTTATATTGTGTGTCTTCTTCTAGATCGCTTAACAATATCTCAGTTTGAGGTAAGCTTATTTGTTCACTTTCTATCCAATCATTACTATCTAAATTATGTTAAAATTAAAGGATGATAACTGAGTTCTTCTTACTCAATAATTACAACAAATACGCAAGTTTCAAATTTGCTTAATTCGTTTAACAAAAGACTGAAATCGCACTTGCAATGGAATAATTAACAAGAAAAGTAGATCCCGGCATAGCCCATTCGGAGCCATTCGAAAGTAACCATTGAACTCGAGCCATTGTAGGGGAAATTGCTTCGACGGTAAAATTTGGTATGTCCGGTTCTGCAAGCATTTTGAAAAGTTAAGGGCAGTATGAATAGCTTGCTTTCTTTTCCTGACGACAGAAATTATGAACACTACAATTATCCAATATTCTAGAAATTTTACGAAAAGTCGGTTTGACACGAACATACTGATGCTTACGCTTACTTCGGATGAGATATTTCCTACAGATCATATAATGTAAAGGAGTTCAGGGTGAGAGAAACAAAATGATGATGGCAAGGGTGTATTTTTTTGTCTATACGAAGAATTTATTTTAATAAATTACCGTTAGCATTCTTTGTGCATTTATTTTTTATCGCCTGAAATTTCGACATTTTTGGAATAGTTAGATGAAATACCTCGAAGCGGCCAAGTTCGTACAGGTCGCACAACTTTTGGTCCTTCACCACCCTTCGTTTCTGCCCAAACAGAAACCTTATAGCCAGTGTCTGGCTCACCTTCCTCATTTAAATAATAAAGTTGTCGATTTAGTACAAATGTTTCTTCTTTTGTGCCTGTTGAGGAATCTTAAAATTTATTCATTTCAACGCTTTTTTCAGAAATTGTCATCTTTGCAAAATAGCAAAAATTAAAACAGTATGTATAATTTGTTACAGTACAGCCTAAAGAGTTCTAATCGCTTAATGCCAGAATTCAAGAAAATTATTAAAAGTAGTCAACTGTTGAATGAACACCTACTTTCAAAAGTAATGAAATAGCCGCGGACGTATCCATTTGGTTGTCGCGGTGGTTCCCATGTAACATATAAACTTCTTGCTCCAACTGCTCGCACCCTCATATTGTGTACTTTGGATGGAACTATAACATGTACAGTATCAGCTGTTAGATTTACTGAGATCAATTCACTTCTCGAGAATTTTATATTGCTTACTTCCTTCAGGAGTTGCAAATTTGACTGTTGACGGCGATTCACTTAGGTATCGACTGTTTGCTGTTCTAATACGTGCCGTATAGTTTGTTATAGGGTTTAAACCATAAAGAATTGTTTCATTCTCATGTTTTTCAGCTCCAACATTCATTATAGCAAATGGCTTTTCGTTTTCCCAGTACTCAATCTATAAATGAAAAAAGTGTCAAGCGAGGGAAATAACTGTGATTTGCTCATACCTTACTTTAGGAGCTAAAAAAGATACGTAGCTTTACCAGATAACCCTTGAAATGACCGCGTACAGTATCTCGATCCACGTGTTTCCACATAAGAAGAACAGCAGTACAATTTATGAATTTAGAAACGCTGAAATCAACCGGCGACAACAATGGTGCTGCAAAGACAAAGCGTTTGTAACGGCGTTTTAAATTTTGAAAACACTCTTCACTTTTACATTTAAATTCCAGAAAATTTACTATCTTCTCCTGAATATCCTTTGACACTTGCTGGCTTTACAATTGCAGGACCAAAACTATTCAAAGATTCCACTTGAACCAAATATTCTCGGAATGTTGGCTGCTCCCGAACAACTGTATGGTTCTAAAAATTTTCAATAAATTCGCAGTTCTTTCCCAACCATCGCGAATAAAATGAAGTAATATTCAAAAAATAACTTACAGCTAAAGGATCTTCAATTCGGATTTCCGTCCACGTTTCTCCAGGTTCATTAAGTCTATAACGGACGATATACTGTAATCCTGGGCCATTCCAATCATATTTATTCATAGGTTTCCACTCGATAATTATATTGCTTGGCTCACTGCCTTCGGCTCTAACATCCTTTGGATTAGTAAATGGATAGTAAGCTTTCGTTGAACACACAATCCCCTCCTTGAAGCCTGGTTCACTTTCACCACGTGAATTTCGAGCTATCACGCGAAACGTATAATTTACCTAAAATACTACTGTTCGCTTACAAATTTTATTAAATTGATCGTTCATTAGGGCGGCAAAGTTTGCCTAAATCACTTCTATAATCACTCAGTAGGATCTTGAAACATGTTTAATTGTACTTTATTTGCAAATCGAAATTTGATATTCTTACCCACGGTGAAAGTGCGATATCCACTTGGTAAAAATCAGCAGCAGTATTTTCTTTCTCCACAACAGTTTGCCATAGCCCCTGAAGTTGAAAACATGCCTTTTTTTCTTTTTTTTGTCAGAAAATGAATTCCAGACAGAATTTGATTTTGAACGAAACACACTTCTTCAAATTCAGTATGCATTTGAACCAAAAACTGTTTGATTTGATCACCGTGATCAACTGGTCGACGCCAACTTAGCATCGCTCTTCGTTCGTTGCAATTTATTCCCGTTACTATTGGTGCATCAGGTACATCTGTAAATTTGAATAATTCTACTGAGAAAGTTGCAAGGCATAAGCACAGTTTTGAAGTATCAAAGGAGCTTTTGGAAGAACTTCTCAAATACATGATTTTTTTTTTGGACAGTCCTATTGCTCCTTTTTTCAGCAAAATAATGCTTTCCAAAATAAATTCTTGGAGAAAAGCTAAAGCTAAATTAGCACCAAGTACAGTTAATTCAACTCCTGAAATCTTGACATCAACATTGGTAAGAGCAATACAATCAATGACTCCTGAATGAATGCCGCGAGCGTCGACGATTAATAGAGAATTGTTTAATGACCTGCAAAATTTTGAATATTTTCAATTCCCACTCTACTCAAAATTCGGCAGTATGAATTGGAAAATCAAAAAAATTGAAGCCCGGTGAGGACAAGAAAGATCATAGTAGATTCAGAAATAAACTACTTAAAATTATGAATATCAGCCAAACATTTCGAAAATTCATCAAAGCGAAGCGTACTTGAAGTGGACAGAGTCATTAATTGGTATGCCATTACGGGTCCAGGAATATTCAATCGTAAGACGAGGATCACAAACTGCTTCACATATATATTCCACTGACTCGTGCGCTTCCAGAATTAACTTCTTTGGACTTGGTACACGAATGAAATGTGTTGGACCTGATAAATAAGTAGTGGATCAAACGCTAACTACAAAGAGAAAATATGACAAAACGTTCAATTGTGTTTCTAGCAATCAGACTTGATTACTAATCAGGAAAAAAATTACTGAAAACTTGTAGTCGATTGACAGCTCGATTGATACCGTACTTGTTCGATACATTGCAATAGTAAAGGCCTTCGTCAGCCGAATTTACTTGCGACAAGCGTAATGTGTGATTGCGAAAAATCTGGGAGAAAATATAAATTTCAATGACCATTACACTAATTATAAGAGAAGTTCAGATTTTTATGCATCAATCAATTTCAAGTGGATTAGTAGCTTAAGGTTATTTACAAATCCATGGCTGCAGAAATATTAGCGGAGTCATTATTATATACAAGTATGTATATTTTCCCAAATAATACAGTATCAGAAGACAGAAATATCGAGTGATTTCAAGGCTTAACAGATTATAAGAACTCTTTTCATCACTTTTTACAAGCAACATCGCCAAATATTGCACTGAAATTGATAGTGCAAGCAAGCTAACATGGATTTTCCCGAGAACAACAGCAAGGGGATGATCATTAGCGTCCACCCATTTGACCACTGCTTCCGGTGCTGCATCAACATCACACGACATTTCTACGGTTGATTTACGTACCACATTCCAAACCCGGTGACTTGGCATTTTGAAATATGGGGCATAAGCTATAACCAATTCGAATTTGATTTCAATTTGGATTTTTTTGACTTTTTCTCAACAATTTACATGTGTTTAAGCTAGTTTTAAAAAAATGGATATTTGTCAACTTGATAGCCAGGGATTTCGTCGGTTTCTTTCAGAGCCTTTCAATTGGTAATTGCAGAATGTAAAGCGATAGTTCCATGTTAATCATGTCCAATAGTTAGAAACTATAGAGAATTTATCATTTTTTACTAAATAAAAGTAGAAAATTTGCAAAGTTCAAAATATAAAATATCTGAGTAGATGGAATGAGTATTTCAAATTTAATAGGACGAAGTTATGGCCTGAAGCAACGGAATGTTAAAACAATTTAGTTGCATTACCGCGCACATTCACGAAAGCATTTCCAAACACATATCCAAACGGATTTGATGCATTGCATTGATATACGGCTGTATCAATATCATGATCCAGATTTACGATTCGTAATATCTGACCATTATTTAAAATCATACGTCGATCGTTGTCTGCCAGCTCTATAGCAATTATTACAACTGATTACCAAACCATAAAATTAAAGCAAAATCCAAATTAAATTGGAAAGGATAATAATTCAAAGTCCACGCTACATTTCCAAAATCTCAGACGTGTGAAGTAGTAGCAAGTAATTCGGTTGTAAAGCATCACAACAATTATTAATTATTAGTCTTTCAGAAAAGTTAATTCCTCTATAAGTAATAATTATAAGTAAATAAGAATGTTTTCCAGATCTTTTTTTCAATGACGGAATCTCTAAGCAACTATCATGTACGGCTATTTTAGGACTAATCCATCAATGATCAACAATGACCTGAAGAAAAAGCTTACTTTCAAATACAGTTAGATATATTTTAAACCATCGAATATATATATATATATATATATATATTCGATCGAATATATATATATATATATATATATATATATATATATATATATATATATA